AATATTCTGCTTCAGTTTTGTTGTGCTATACTTTACGACAAATAACTTGGTTGAGTAAGGACTGTTATTTAAATAATGTGGCGTCACATTCCATGCAATGTGAATTGTGTCACAATATTAACAATATCATACCACATTCGTTGTAAAGTGGCATAGCCCTGCATCGGTCTGCCCTCGCGGGTCTAAGTGCGTGGTGGGCGCACCGCACTCATGACACGTCACAACAAATGTGACGTAATATTTTACTTTAAATGTGACACAATTCATATTCTTTAGAACGTGACGTCACAGTATTTAAATAACAGTAATAGCACGGTCTGAGAAAAAAAAAATTCTGAAAAAGTTTGCAGCAATTTAGATTGTTACTTTGTTGATAAATCCTTGCAGCTTTGAAAAAGACTGGACGCTACAACCTCGTTCTCATCGACTGGTCGCAGTACACAACAAACAGTAATGGCAAGGGCCAGTTCAAAACTAACTTCGGAAACATGTCAGCGGTAAGTAGCATTTTTATCACGTAAAAATCGGCATTGTTTACGAATGAACTACATCTTGTCCATGATGGCAAAAGACTATGCGAGTTTAACGATGTCATTATTGGCGAGAGTTTGCGAATCGCTATCTTCCTTACTTAAGTGTATGGTGAAGTCCCGCAGTTCGTTACCCCGAAAATGAACTGGACACAGGAAGTTCATCTCTGAGTGTGTAGGTGTGGGCCATTTGCATGTGTTATTGTTAAGATAACTTCTTGTTATTTTGATGATTGAACTGGATAAATGAGAGACTAATTTAACTAGGGCTGGATAACTGAGTACATTTCCAGAGAGGTACATGACGGAAGTGACATAATCAGGATTTTAAGCAGTTACGGAAAAAAACATAAGATGTTCCCATGTCAGTAGCCCTTCACCTTTTACGTGTCGGAACGCGTCGCACGAGTGCATGTTGTCGATGAAGACTAATGGTATTTTTGTACACATAGGTGAGTGAGCGTGCTGGCCGCTCCGTCAAGGCTCTGGTGCAGGCTGGCCTGCCGCTGAATTCACTTTGGGTTGTGGCACACTCGATGGGGGCCCAAATGGCGGCGTTCGTAAGCCGTGCGCTGGATCGCAAAGTACCGAGGTTGACAGGTTAGTGATATACGAGTTTAATATGTAGGACTATGGCTATCGCCAGAACCCAAATCTCTTAAATCAGTTATCCTTCATCCTGAACTTGAGTTCTAAACCATGTGATTTTTATCCGGTTTTGTGACTAATTAAGTTGCTTGAAAACGCTACTTAACGTGTCGCTAGTATTGAATTTCGACTCTTTGCAGCCTTGGACCCAGCTGGCGCAAAGGCGCCATTCTTAGGCTTTCCCCACCTTGTCCGCGAAGATGCACTCTTTGTCGACGTAATTCATACCGATGCTGGGACAACGTTCGACACACGCGGATACGATGGCGATTGTGGCCACATCGATTTTTGGCCGAACAATGGTCGAGCCATTCAACCAGGATGCGAAAACGTGAAAGGTTAGCCAAATGCGATTATATCCTATTTGCGTGCATTATGCTGCTTAATTATGCTTGCCACATGTTGGGGCAGTTTTTGGCTGCACCAAAGAAATGTAGTGCTTTTCAGTGTGTTGCCACGATAAAAGCTGTCCTAAACCGTATCACATACACTGCTCATCAAAATTAGCGGGCGGATTCTTCAAACGGATGTATTTTCTATGTTTTTGGAGCTAGGAAGCTAAGATGCGATATGAAGGCGTCCCAATCATTTATGTCGAGGCTCAGAAAGTACGTAGGCCGTTGGCCAACCCCAACGAGCTGTGCACCCCTTAGAGTGGAGGAGGGTTTAAAACCCAGCCGTAACAACTCCAAAATTGACACTGTGCTCGAAAAGTCAAGACAAAACTTTAACCCTAAGGGTCCGAAATGGACGATACACAAAAAGAGGTTGAACGTTCGCGGGGGTGGTTTGGCCGGGGGTTGTCCGATTCGAAAAAAAACACATGGATCGTGTACATGGCACGTCCCCAGAGGATATCGAGCTGGTTTTGACCAACCACAAAAGTCACTCTGGGTGTGAATGTGGAAGGGGTGGGTTTGTCCAATTGCAATTTTGCTTACACTGTTCGAAAGAGAACAAAAAGTTGAGTTGATTCATGAAAAATCTTGACTTTTGGAGTACTTACAGTGTCAGTTTTGGAGTTATTAAGACTGTTTTTTCACCCTCCTCCACTCTAAGGGGTGCACAGCTCGTGGGGTTGGCCAACGGCTTGCGCACTTTCTGAGCCTCGAGATGAATGATTGGGACGCCTGCATGTCAAATCTTAGCGTAGCTCAAAAAACATACAAACTACGTCCGTTGGATAAACCCGCCCGCTAATTTTCATTAGCAGTGTACTTGTAATAGGCCGTGGAAAGTAATCGGCCCTTGTGCTACGAATCCTAGTCGTTTATATTTTGTCCACATCTTTAATTATTC